GTAAATAGCACCATCAGCGCGCCCAACCTCGACCAAGTGCTTTGGTGGTACGTACATCGCGCAGACAGCACTCGCTCTTATCTACCGACGCGGCTCAGCTCATCAGCCTCACGTTTCTGCTTCTCACCTCGATCTACGCAGTATGGCGACGGCGATCTGGTACCACTCCACCGCAGGCCAAGACGCCACCCCCGTTTTGTTCGAAATCTTTGACGAGCGCGAGTACCCCATTGTGGTACACTCTCCTGCTTCATTCGATTGCTTGTCTCAGACAATTGGGGTGCTGTTCCGCTTAAGGCTCACTTTCGTTTGGTTGCGTTGTGTGTCGTGTTATGGCGAGCTCAGAAGGGTCCCGTGGATGTGAGCGCCCCAACGCAGAAGGACATCTATCGATTCGTCTTCAGCATATTCAAGGCAGAGAAGCTGCCCGCCGAGTGTGCCATCCTCTGTCTGGCCTACATCGAAAGGCTGATCGCCAATACCAAGATCACCCTCCACGGGACCAATTGGAGACGCGTCACGCTCGGCGCACTCATCTTGGCCTCCAAGGTGCGCACCGCATCATCATCATCATCATCATCATCACTCTCTCTCTCTTTGGTGTGTTTTTGATATATGATCGCTGCTTTGGTATTATATATGTGTATTTTTGGTTTTACATAGTGTGTGTGTGTGTGTGTACTACAGAGAGAACACATTATCATCTGCTTCTTCTTCTTCTTTTCCCCTCATCGGAAGATTTCACCACGAACGAACATCATCTCACAAGTCCGTTTCGCGATTGCTCTTCTCTTCCAGGTGTGGGAAGACCAGGCCGTGTGGAATGTGGACTTCCTCTCGGTCTTTCCCAACGTGAACGTGAACGACCTGAACAAGCTCGAGAAGTATTTCCTGGGCCTGCTCACCTACAACGTCTCTCTGAAAGCATCCGAGTACCGCCCCGCCTCTAGACCTGCCTCGCACTTTTCACACTGCACTCTTTTCCGGTGGCATGCCACTCACCAACCACCTCGTGGTGTGATGCATCGTAGGTACTGCAAGTACTATTTTGAGCTGCGCGAGCTGGCCGAGAAGGACTCGAAGAGCTTCCCTCTCCTGCCGCTCACCACGGCGGATGCCCAGCGCTTGGAGGTACATGAGCCCACCTACACCCGCTATACGCTTCAGGAGGGAACTGTGGGCTGTCACGGGTGATTGCTTGCCATGGCTGAACGTTGTTCGTGTCTGTGCTCGTGTTCGTTCGAAGCAACGTGCTATCGAGACAGAGAGAAGGGTCAAGAAGCTGCAGCGCACGTCGAGCGCCGATGCCTTGCCCCTCAAGTCTCCTCGCGCCGTGCTCAACTAGCGAGACTAACCAGGCCTGGACAGTCAGCGTTTTGACCATCAGCCGACAACCACCTTCACCATCTACGACAGTAGTCTCCTTCCCTCTCCCGTCGACCTTCTTCTTCCTCTTCTTTCCCTCCATCTTTGCCGCGCGGCTGGTTTCAGCTCTCCCCCCATTCCTCCTCTGTTTTCAATGCCCCGCGCGGCGAGTGCACATACTGTACATCATAGATAGACCCACCCTCCCCTTCGCTCGATCCCTTTTCTCCCCTGTTCTACGCCCAACTGCCTGGTCCCCTCCGTATGATGTGGTGCGACGCTAAGTGATGTGAAGGAGGCTCTTCTTCTTCAAGCATCATCGTAGTGGTGGTGGTACAAGTAGTTACACTACGAGGGAACGTGTGTATGGGTGCTGCTGCTCCTCCCTGCTCTCGACTCGAGCCATGTTGTCTGGTGGCAACCCGGCCTGAGGGCGCGGGAGGCCAGCGACGATCAGATCACTCCCTCGGTGTGCTGCAGGTGGTGCTCCA